AGGATACGACATGAATTTTAAAGAAAGATGTGAAAAAATTGCAGCAAAAAGAGGAAAACACAGAGGAGACACAGGGAATTAAAAAAACTAAAGGCGATCAGAGAATTTTACAACCAGAAAACCCCACGGAAATTGAGATGCTGGAAATTTTTTTTAACATTTTCACATTTGAAAAGCTGACACTGAAGAACATACTCGAAAAAAAAAATAACATAAAGGGGAAATTTTACAACATATCGCTTTAGAAGAACTTCACTAAATAAGATGATTTAAAGACAAAACAATGCATAAAGAGAGAGATGAGTTACCATCTTTAGAATGAACGAAACACAAGGGAACTAAGGAATGAAAAAATGGACACGGAAATGATAAATAGAGAGAAAATATTAAAACCCCTTTCGAGTTTTAAGGACTTTCTCTTGGAAATAAAAAAATATACTATGAATAAAGATGAAATCACCGTATTCCACTTCCTGGACCAAATCACTCAACACACAGACAACACAAACACACAACTCACTACCCCCCCATCCAACCCCCTCAACCCCCAATCCCCCCCACATAACCCAAATTCCTACTTCCCCCGAACCTCAACTATCACCACCCCCACACCTTGAAGCCTACAATTTATACCCCTGCACCCTCCCCCTCCCCTGACAAAACCCCGCCCGAGACATTTTTCCGGGCTTCAGTCAACCCTAAAAATATTTTAAAAGCCTCCCCATTCCGCTCACTCAACCACAACTTTTACTCTAACCACCCCCCCTATCCATGTTTCCCTTATTTACCATCTTCCCCCCCTTAAATCCTGTTAATGAAAAATTTTTATTTTCCCCCGTTTGTTTATTCGGGGTTTTCTTCCCCGTGACACGGGTTTTTTGGCCCCAAAAATGTTAAACAGCCTAACCCCCCCTGTCAGATTCTACATAACAAAAATAACGTTTCACTATCCAGCCCCTTTAAATAAGAGGAAAATTTTGGTTAGTTAAAGGGATTTGTAGGAAAAGGACAAATTTTTATGATGCGGGTTTTGGGGGATATAAGAAAAGGTGGGTTTTGTTGGACCGAAGGAGGGTTTTAAAATTTGTTTAATTTTAAATTTTTGAAAATGTTTTTTAAAAAAAAAGGGGGGAGAAATATTTATTAACTGCAGGTTAGAATTGTTTGGGGTAAAATAAATGGGGGAGGTTTTTAAAACGAAAGTACTGGGGGGGAAAGGGTTTTTAAAAGCGGTTAAAAAATTGGAATTATAAATCTGGGGAAATTTTTTTTGAAGAAATTGAAAGTGGTTATAGTTGGGAAAATGGGTAAGGAAAAGGAGGGTTTGAGGGAATAGTCCCTAACTGGAATCGATGTGTTCAGTCCATCACTCTTGTAGGAAGTACAGCAGAGGGCCAGAGAGGTGGCTTATATACTGCTTCGACTCACCTGACTGCAGTATATAAGCCACTTCTCTGGCCCTCTGCTGTACTTCCTACAAGAGTGATGGACTGAACACATCGACTCTAGGTTGAGGGACTGATTACCTCAAACTCCTCCTCTCCTTACCCATTTCTACTTTGTATTGGACTGATGAAGCCACTGTGTGGCGAAACGTTTCTACAGTAAAGATTCCCAGATGTTGCATAAGTATCTCATAAGAACATAAGAACATAAGAACGAAGGAACACTGCAGAAGGCCTACTGGCCCATGCGAGGCAGGTCCAAGTCCCTACCGGCTTAAGCCAATGCACCCAACCTAGTCAGGGCAGGTCCCCATTGACTTAAGGGAGGAACACGGCAACCGACCTGTTAGCACAAGCTATCAGGTCTAACTCACACCCACCCACATCTACTCATGTATTTATCCAAACCCATTTTTAAAGCTACACAACGTTCTTGGCCTCTTTTAACGGTACTTGGGAGTTTGTTCCACTCATCCACAACTCTATTACCAAACCAGTACTTTCTATATCCCTCCTGAATCTGAATTTTTCCAACTTAAAACCATTGCTGCGAGTCCTGTCTAGGCTAGATATTTTCAGCCACTATTTACATCCCCTTTATTTTTTTCCTGTCTTCCACTTATAAACCCCAATCATATCCCCCCTAATTCTACGTCTTTCTAAGATTTCAGTTTCAGGGGCCCCTTTGTCTATCCTCTAGGGAAGGTTTTTTGATACATGGGATCATCTTGTCATCCTCCTTTGTACATTTTCCAGAGAATTTATATCCATTCTGTAATACGGTGACCAAAACTGTGCAGCATAATCTAAATGAGGGCCCAACCAAGGATGTATAGAGTTGAAGAACAACCTGAGGACTCCTATTATTTATGCTCTTGATATGAGCCAAGGATTCTATTAGCTTTATTGCGAACACTTATGCACTGTTGTCTTGGTTTCAGATTACTGCTAACCAGAACTCCTAAATCTTTTTCGCAATCCGTAATATTAAGATCTACATTATTTTATTTTATATGTGGCATGGTTATTGTCCTGTCCAACATTTAGAACTTTGAAATTTGTCTATATTAAACTGAAATCTGCCACTTCTCCGACCACTCCCATCAGTCTATTCAAATCTTCCTGGAGTGCTCGAATGTCCTCGTCAGAATGAATTCGACGGCCTATTTTGGTGTCATCGGCAAACTTGCCGATGTCGCTCTTTATGCCCTCATCTATGTCGTTTATGTAGTTTGTGAACACAGGGGCCCAACACTGACCCCTGTGGAACACCGCTCGTGACGCTTCCCCACCCTGATTTTCCCCCATTTATGAAAACTCTCTGCTGCCTCTTTGTCAACCATGCCTCTATCCAGGAAAAAATTTCTCCTCCTATTCCATGTGTTTTAAATTTTTCCTCAAAGCCCTCTGATGTGGGACCCTGTCAAAAGCCTTACTGAAGTCCATATACCAAAATTATCATATTCCCGTTACCATGATCTACCTCCTCAAATACCTTAGTGAAAAAAGTTAAAAAATTTTCGAAAGGCAGGAACGCCCCTTTTGTAAAACCATGCTGAGATTCGTTGATTATTTATGCTTTCAAGGTGGCTACGAACTGCCTCGGCAATTATTGTTTTCCATAAATTTTCCCACTATGGAGGTTGGGCCCTTATTGGTCTATATTTTCGAAGCTAAGGACCTGTCACCTGTTTTGAAAATAGGTATCACATTTGCCATTTTCCACTTATCTGGCACCATGCCAGTTTGTATGATATGTTGAAAAGATTAGCCAAAGGTGTGCCTAAGCTCCTCTTTACTTTCCCTTTTAGAACCCTTGCATACAGTTCATCAGGGCCTGGGATTTGTTAGGTTTTAATTTATCTATTTGCCTAAGGACCATGTTCACTTTTTGACCCTAATAGTGCACAGTTTATTATCGTCCTGTTCTACATAATTTATCATTACGGGAAATCACTGGTATCCTCCTGTGTAAAAACTGAGAGGAAGTATGTTTTTAAAATTCTACACATTTCCTTATCACTGTCAGTGAGCTGACCCAGGAATTTTTGAGTGGGCCTATCTTGCCCCTTTGATCTTACTTCTGTATACCTAAAGAATCCTTTTGGGTTAGTCTTCGATTCCTTGCAACTTTAACCTCATAATCTCTTTTTCTTTTCTTAATTCCCTTTTTTATTTCTCTCTTTAACTGAATATATCGATTTCTTAATTGCCCCTCTCCTCTTTTGATTTGCCTATATATGCCTCTCTTTTGACCAATCAGATATTTTAATCTATTTTCATCCATTTAGGATCATTTTTTGTTTGATCTGATTTTTCCCCATTTGGAACATAATTTGGGCTGAGCACTAGAACTATGCCCTGGAAAGCATCATATCGGCAACCATCACCACCTACCTGACCCCCAGTCAGGTCATTCCAGTTCAGCCCACCTAAGTAATTTTTCAGTCCATGAAATCAGCCAAGCGAAAGTCAGGACGGAGACTTGATTGCCATTATTAGGGGAATTCCATGATATGTAAAACTGAGTGATTTGTGATCACTCTCCCAAGCTCATCATTAACCTCAAGATTATTAATTAGTGTTTCCCTACTGGCAAGAACCAAGTAAGGAGGTTATTTCCCCTAGTTTTGGGTCTGTCACAAACTGTTTTAAAAACAATCCTGGATCGTATCAAGAAAGTCACCCGACTCTAAATTTCCTGTCAAATTGCTCCATCAATCTGTCTATAGTTGAAATCTCCCATTAGCACAACATTTTTGTATGTAGATGCCTTACGAATTTCGTCCCATAGAAGTTAACTGCACTCCCTATCAAGATTTGGGGCCCTGTAAATCACACCCAAAATTAGTTTTTTCTCGGCCCTCGAGAAGCTGTAACCAAACAGATTCAGTGGCTGACGCTTCTAATTTAATATCCCTTTTCTAACACAAAAATTTAAATTGTCTCTGACATACATCGCTACTTCCACCACCTTTCCTGTTGACCCTGTCAGTGTGGAATAATTTATAGCCTTGTATGTGACATTCAGATGGCATCTCTCTATCTTTCAGATTGAGCCAGGTCTCTGTATAGCAATAATATCTATGTTTCCTGCACTTGCAATTAATCTTAGCTCATCTATCTTATTTCTAACACTCCGCTATTATATAGTAAACCTTAAGGGAGCTAGTCCCTTGCTGCCCTCTTGCTGTCCCCCTTTGTTTTCTGACCTGTTCTATTGTCTTTATTTATAAACTTCATGCTGAATGCCTTTTATTTCATTTACTGTTTCCAACCCTAGTGTTGCAACCTGCTTGTTTCCCACACACACCCATACCTCTATCTTCCATCAGTTTAAAATCATAGGCATTTCACCAATGGCCTTCTCAATCGAGTCTGCAAGTGCTACCACCCCAGCCCCAGAGAGATGAACCCCATCCTTGCATACATATCATGTTTGCCATAAAAGTTGTTCCAGTTGTCAATGAATGGGATTGCAAGTTCCTTGCAGTATCTGTCTAGCCAGCAATTTACACCAATTGCCCTAGACAACATTCATTTCCTACTCCCCTTCTAGGCAAGATGCTACATATGATTGGGATCCCTCCCTTAGACTTAATGAAATCTATAGCTGACCTGTACTTATCTAGCAGCTCTTCTCTCCTACCCTTCCCAATATCATTTCCACCAGCACTGAGACAGATAATGGGCTTGTTCCCATTACCTGACATGATATTATCCAGCCTGTTGACAATGTCCCCAACACCAGCTCCAGGGAAGCACACTCTATCTCTCATCTTCTTATTCCTATTACAAAAGCACGGTCAACATATCTTACCTGAGAGTCACCAACCACAAGAATGCGCTTACCTTCATTAGCAGGGGCAGTAGTACCCTTACATTCACTGGCCACTGAAGTACATTCATCCTGGAGAACAGAGAAGCGATTTCCTACCTTCAGATCTTCACTCTTAACTTTCCTTACTCTGATGCGCCTCCCATTACTGTGAACAAACTCGCCACTTGTAGCAGGTGCTGGGCTGCACCTCACTGCTGGTACCCGTTGCTACCTCCCCACCTACAGCCTCCTCACAGTGAGAGACAGACTGCACCTCACTGCTAGAAGCCGCATTCCCCACATCTCCAACCACCTCACACTCTCTCCCAGGCCCATTGAGGTGGACCTTCAGCCTCCTAATCTCCTCCTGGAGAAGCAAGACCTCCTCCTTCAACTCTCCAAACTCAGTTTTTAAAACACTGCAGAAGCAAGCCATGCTTTGTAACCGTCCACGCTAATCCCCAAAGCAGCTCAGGGTCTGTGACCTCACGTGACGACTGACCACTGAACACTGACGAGTCTTCATATATGATACTCAACCAGGCAAAGCACAACCCACTTAACAACACAAGTATCGCATAACCTCATTGTCTATCTGACTTCTTCTAAAATAAGTAGTTTCATTTTTCAGGTCACTATGTTTCACTCACTCCCACTCTCCGCATATATATACTCTTATTTTTAAACTGTATGTTAGAAGTGATCAAGGTCCCAGGACCGAAACGTTTTCTAATAAATATGTCCTAGTGTTTACTCATATGTCTTACCAAACCGCACAACTCACTACTCTCTCTCTCTTACACACACACACACACACACACACACACACACACACACACACACACACACACACACACACAGCCTGCCCAAACAGACCATCACTGCCGTGCTCACCTTCACCACAGTAAACAAGCATACGGCCTCATTATCATCAAATAAACAACATACTCGTATATAACATCACACACCATTAAATTTATCAGTCCACTGAAGTTAACGCTACCTGCCTTCCGCCGCCATCAAGTGTGACCTGACCTATTCCTTAGAGGCAGGAAACACACAGACAGATATACAAAACCATGGAACAAATAGAAATAAATAACAATATAATAAACTGAGATCGGTAAAAAAAAAACATGATCACTGAGCTCAAAGAAAGAAAGAAAGAATAGAGGAAGAATGACCAGATATAACAGCGATTACAGAGAACAGACTCTCTGAAATTAGAGGAGGAAAGTTAGGTAAGAGAGAAATAGTGGATGGGTAGGGATAGTCACTCTTGATACGAGAACAATGGGAGTTTGAGTAACTAGTAATTCTAAAGAATAAGACACGTGTGTAACATCTTTATTTTAAGACGTTTCGCCTTCCAGTGAATTTATCACTACAATATAAGAACTAGATGGTGAAACGTCTACAAATAAAGATACCCAGATGTTGCACATGTGTTTAATTCTTCCTCTTGTGGGTATTATATACCATTCATATACAACTAGTAATTCTAAACTACGAAGGATACTCAGACTACACTACTTGACACAAAATAACCAAGTGAAGAGTTATAATAAAGATGGTATAGGAATACTGACAAGATGCTGTTGATTAAGACACACAAACAGCAGTTAGAAAATTAAGACAGTGTTTCGCCTCCAGTGCAAACTTTATCAAATTAGATTAGATAACGCCTACTGTGAAGGCGAAACGCTGTGCTAATAAAGTTTCCAATTCCTGTGTGTTGCTATCAACACAGGAAGAGCTAAATTGATGACAGTAATATACAAAACTTTACCCATCAACAGAAGGAAGAAACTATGGTATAGTACTAACAGCAAGAAAAAAAAAACTGACTGTGAAGAGCAAGAGGTGCAAATAGAAAACAGATCTAGAGAAAAAAGAAAATAGATCTGGAGAAAACATACTAGAAAATTTCAGATGAACATGGAAACCCAGAAACATGAAGAGGAAAATTCATGGACTCACAAAGGAGAAATTTCTGATCTAGTGTTTCTTGTAAGTGGTTCAGACATAGAAAGGCTCGACTGGGTAACTCCAACAGGAATTAGCAACAACTACGAAAGCCTTTAGGGTCCTCATGTAGGTGGGAACGCGAGGCCAACACAAGGGACAGTAGACTCTGGATATGAGATTGAAATCAGTGTACGGAAGTGACATGCTGGCATAAAAAATATGTTTAACAAGAGAAGAATGGGAGAAGAAGCTTCAAGAGAAAGTCACAAGCAATTACGAACATTTTTAACCAAAAATGCATTCATCCCTGTTATGAAGTGCTCTAAGAGGACAACGAGAAGCCACAGCTCATTTAACAGTGTAAGAAAACTAAAATGACAGTGGACATAAAAATAAAGCAGAGGCAAGAATACGATGGAGGACACGCAATAAGATCAAAAGGAAAGTGTAGAAGCAGTTTGAAAAGAACATGGCGGCATAAAGAACAAAAAAGCACAATATCGTGACTGGAACAATACACAAATAACCCGCACATAGGAGAGAGAAGCTTACGACGATGTTACGGTCCGACTTGAACCGTTTACTCTTGTGTTACTGTGGCTTTGTAAATGGTCCAAGTCAGACCGAAACGTCGTGGTAAGTTTTTCTCTCCTATGTGCAGGTTATTAGGTACAGCAGTATAATTAAAATCTTAAAGAAGATAACACATAGGTGCATCAGACGAAATACGACTAGAGGATCAAAAAACAGGAAAAATCTGGACCTACCCACAGAGAATGTAATGAAAATTTACTAGAAAAAAATTCATGACGGTCGTCGTTGAATCCTTCATACGCATTTTAATATTTCAGATGTTCCTTCATCCATCATCGAAATCTTGAACGAATGAGAGATAAAAAAAAAGAAGTTAAATTGTGTTTCTCGTTGGAAAACAGTTAGAATGTGATTTCCACTATGAAATGAGTTGAAAATTGCAATGAACACACCTTTCCAGGGTGTGAACGTTGCTGTGTTGCTTCACTGAGATTTCCAGAAGGCCAAATTTCACAGAAGAATACGACAGAATAATGAATTTGAAACTCATACGGGGAAACAACAGAATTAATAATTAATGAAAACAGGACGTAGAAGGACCAGAGTGGGCATTAAAGGACGTATTTTCTTTAATAAAAAACGGTTGCCCATGGCAAACGGGCTTGCCAAAGTTTCAGTAAAACAAAAGGAGCAGGAAAACTGCTAGACACCTTGAAAACGTCGAGTGTAATATCAGACCTCTAGGAATGAGACAGAGGAGGGCACACGGAAACTAAATCCACTTGAATCATTGAGACCTGATTCACTTTTGTTTCCCGTTTCTGTACTTATTCCAACGATCACAAAACATCAATGTCGACTTCCTAATTGCTGGGGATATTAATGAATATAGAATCCCACACACATACACACACACAGAGTTGAGGCAAGTTCAGAGGCAGAACCAGGAGCTAAGACTCGACCCCTGCAGCCATATATAGGTGAATATATATAGACGAGTAAACACAAACACATTAATTAAGTGGTAAGGTTGTAGTGACGTGAGATCCTCCTGTACTCATCCATATTGTTGAGTATCAGCTGAGTCATGATAAAGTGTAAGTTGATCCTGTCTCTCGCCTTACAGATGGAGCAGATCTTCAACGAGTTGACTGAGGAATTCACACTGCCTGTAGGGAGAGGCACGTTGACTAGTTAGATGCTACAGCTAAGAGAGTGGCAGATCTTATCCTAAACCTTCGTTAAAATGGATAAATCTAATACTGACAGGTAGTAGCAGCAATAAAAATATTGGTAAAAGCATCAGGAAAGAGGTGATCAGTATCTCATTAGAGCGTTTTGCTCATAATCGAAAGGTGCAGGTTTTATTTTTTTTTTTTGGTACAGCGGGACGTATAGGTAAATCTTCTTACAGGTACTGCTCCTGTTCACACTGCAGTATGTAGGCAGTTGGAGGTCAGTCGACTGCTGTAGGTAATATCCTGGGGTGGCAACATATTAGATCAGGGCTGGGCTTTGAAAGGAACCGAAAAATGGTAACTGCTCTATGCCTGTTCATTTACCCGAGCAGAAAAAAATCCCATAATTTGGTTTCCTTAATTTTCATATCGTAAATATATATTTGCATCACTGATTTCACGTAAGGAGAGCTACCACCTCCAGACACACCCTGACAGCACTACCCGTATCTATATATACATGGATCACTAACAGTAACTCTATGATAAAAAAACATATAATTACTAGAGAGACAAGTTAGTTACAGCTTAAATAGCTGCCACAGAAACTTTACAAGAACTGACTTACTGCGTATAGCCTTTGCAAAGGGGTCACTGCAGTCTCCGGCCTCAACAACGCAGTCTACCATGGCCTTGACCCAGGTAGAGTTGTTCATAATAGCTTCTAACTCGCTGTGGCTGTGACTCGAGATCAGCTGGAGGTCTTCCTGAGACTGGGCGGCCGCCAGCGTCACCGTCACGCACAAGAGCACTACACGCATTCTGTGACCAGGGAGCATTACATTAGTACCCCTGGACAAATATGTTATGTTAATGTCCAGGGTTTATTACCTGGACCTCAGCAATGAGAGTCGCTACTCTCACCGCAGTTTATTGCTATTCTTTATCAACTACGTTTCGCCCACACAGTGAGCTTTATTAAGTCACAAACAGATTTGCTGTCAATAAAGGATTGCATTATATTTCATTTGTGTCTTTTTTTTCCATCGTGTCTGTAATTTATACCATTCATCTCCATTAGTAGCAGTTTAATGAAAGGATAAAAGGGCCGTCATGATGGGGAAGGGGTTATAATCCAAGGAACGGGAGCTGCCCTCCTTTTATTCTCCGATCACACCTGTTAATTTCCCGTTGGGTAGGCGCGTTGTATGACCCTGAGAGGTTTAGCGCTTCCCCAAGATTAATAATAATAATAACACGGTTTATCAGAATTTGCTTTTTCTTTTCCCTCAAAGCTCCTCCAACGTTCCCGTCCGATGACCTGGGCACTAATCTTCCGATCGATTACAAACCTTCCACACTTGAGAAAGCCTCATTATATCGCTCTCTACTATAAAACAACACTGTATAATTTTTTACACAGTAGCCTCGTGTAACTTGATCCAGATCCTGTAGTACATTAAAATATCAAGATTAATTCAAATATTTACATGCTTTTTTCAGTATTGTAAACTAGCATTTCTCCAGGCAGAGTGCAACAACCTTTCTGTCAATTTATTGTTTGCAATATAAGATGGAGGTGAACTCTCCTCTGCAAACTGGTCTCCTTGATCTACTTTGTGAAGCTCTACAGACGTCTCCCGTAAAATTGATTAGATATTTTCTGAAGTGGTATATTTCTTTCAGTGGATGTTAGATTTTTCTTCCAAAGTTGAAGTCTAAACCTTGAGAACGCGTCACCCGATGGCCTATAAATTTTCAATACTTGTGTGTTATAACTAGGGATAGGTTAATGTATTTTTTTGGGCATGTTTAAGTGCCCTTCTGAAAATTTCACGAATCCCTATGTGATGTTCGGTTTTTGATCAATAACCTGAGAAAGCTTCTTACGATAGGTTTTAAACTTTCAAAAAATAGAATGTCATACTTACAAAAAAAAGATTCGGATTGTTGTTGGTGTGTGTAGGTGTCAGTTTCTCAGTTCTATTTTAATAACTGGCATATTTTCCACACAGAATCTTAAAAAAAATGGAATGGGTTTAAACCCAGCAGCCTGATGCAGCCAGACGAAGCTCCACTATGAACTGTGGTCGCACAGGAACAAATGTGCTAAGTTACTAACGTAATTAAAATTTTTGTTACTGGTTTCCATGTGATGTGTGAAACTGAAGAATGCCTCTACTGATCGTCTTCAAACTGCAGTAGCTGGCGTATTTATCTCAAAGAATGATTGGCATTTTTACTGGGTTGTGTAAATGTTTTTATATGCAAATAGTGCATCGGTTTGAACCTTAAAAAGCTTTTCCTCTTCGGTTTCAGACTCTCACCACAGGTGTATTCTATATGGAAGACGGTTCGGATTGTAGGTGAAGTATTGGTGTCAATTTTTCAAGTATATTTGAAAAAAACTGTGCCATAGTTTTGTGTGATTACTTAAGAACGAGTTATTTTAAAGGCTTCAAATTTTAAAAGCAGTTTCAGCTAGGCCCACCGATAACTTATTTTACAGTTTATCTAACAACTTTGCCGATTTTTAACTTCGTTAAAATATGTTATTATTGGTTTCTGGGCACTAGAGAATGCCTCTTCTGACCAGATTTAAACTTAAAGCACTAGAGTATTTTGATAAAAGGCATGATTACATTGTTACTCAGATATGTATGTCTCAATTTATGACTTTTATTATAAATATTGGTTTGTGCAATTACTAAAGAAAGTCTCTTCTAATAGGTTTCAAAGTTTTATGACTAGAGTATTTTACTTAACGCCAAGAAGAGTTTTGGACTGCGCAGGCTCCAATTTGCCAATTTAATTGAGATATTAATATATCGGTTTACAAGAGATAACTTGTGAAGCCTCGTCTGAGTTGCTACAATTCTTCAGCTCTGATGCTGTATAGCCCTTGTGGCTTAGCGCTTCTTTTTGATTATAATAATAATCTTCAGCTCTGATATTTGGCTGCATTAAAAGCTACGCAACACATAGTACTAATCCTTTTTGAATGCACTTAAGTACAAGTATTACGTTATATAAGGGATAAATTTCTCGTATTGCGAAGCGACCAAAACATACCTAGTCTGCATAGCAATGGCTCACATTCAACAAAGCATTAGTTGAATGTTAACATTTAGGCTGGATGTTCGTAACACAGACACTCGAGGTATTTATGAGTGATTTGCAGAAATAACATGGATATTACACTGGAATTCCTATTATTGTTGTAAACAGACACACAGACAACTATACAGTTAGTAAATAGCAACTTCAGGTGCTGTGAGTTAAGGAAGCAGTGCCATTATGTACTGAAGATCTGAGGTTTTGGTTCTATAATACATGCAAACTTTAAATTCATCTTAAAAAATATATAGACAAGAACTTGAGAAAAATTATTCTATATCCTAGTGGCGTCCAGTCGAGATCTGGATGGGAGAGGATAACAAGATGATGCCTGGGGAGGGTGGGTAACCACCCTGCCTGGGGAGGGTGGGTAACCACCCTGCCTGGGGAGGGTGAGTAACCACCATGCCTGGGGAGGATGATTAATCACCCTGCCTGGGGAGGGTGAGTAATCACCCTGCCTGGGGAGGATGATTAATCACCCTGCCTGGGGAGGATGAGTAACCACCCTGCCTGGGGAGGGTGAGTAATCACCCTGCCTGGGGAGGATGAGTAATCACCCTGCCTGGGGAGGATGAGTAATCACCCTGCCTGGGGAGGGTGAGTAATCACCCTGCCTGGGGAGGATGAGTAATCACCCTGCCTAGGGAGGATGAGTAACACCCTGCCTGGGGAGGGTGAGTAATCACCCTGCCTGGGGAGGATGGGTAACCACCCTGCCTGGGGAGGGTGAGTAACCAACCATGCCTGGGGAGGATGAGTAACCACCCTGCCTGGGGAGGGTGAGTAAATCACCCTGCCTGGGGAGGATGAGTAATCACCCTGCCTGGGGAGGGTGAGTAATCACCCTGCCTGGGGAGGATGAGTAATCACCCTGCCTGGGGAGGATGATTAATCACCCTGCCTGGGGAGGTGAGTAATCACCCTGCCTGGGGAGAGTGAGTAATCACCCTGCCTAGGGAGGGTGAGTAATCACTCTGCCTGGGGAGGATGATTAATCACCCTGCCTGGGGAGGGTGAGTAATCACCCTGCCTGGGGAGGATGAGTAATCACCCTGCCTGGGAAGGGTGAGTAATCACCCTGCCTGGGGAGGGTGAGTAATCACCCTGCCTGGGGAGAGTGAGTAATCACCCTGCCTAGGGAGGGTGAGTAATCACCATGCCTGGGGAGAGTAATCACCCTGCCTGGGGAGGGTGAGTAATCACCCTGCCTGGGGAGGGTGAGTAATCACCCTGCCTGGGGAGGGTGAGTAATCACCCTGCCTGGGGAGGGTGAGTAATCACCCTGCCTGGGGAGGGTGAGTAATCACCCTGCCTGGGGAGGGTGAGTAATCACCCTGCCTGGGGAGGGTGAGTAATCACCCTGCCTGGGGAGAGTCAATAATTACCCTGCTTGGGGAGAGTGAGTAATCACCCTGCCTGGGGAGGGTGGGTAATCACCCTGCCTGGGGAGGGTGAGTAATCACCCTGCCTGGGGAGGGTGAGTAATCACCCTGCCTGGGGAGGGTGAATAATCACCCTGCCTGGGGAGGGTGAATAATCACCCTGCCTGGGGAGGGTGAGTAATCACCCTGCTGGGGAGGGTGAGGTAATCAACCTGTCTGGGGAGGGTGAGTAATCACCCTGTCTGGGGAGGGTGAGTAATCACCCTGCCTGGGGAGGGTGAGTAATCATCCTGCCTGGGGAGGGTGAGTAATCACCCTGCCTGGGGAGGGCGAGTAATCACCCTGCCTGGGGAGGGTGAGTAATCACCCTGCCTGGGGAGGGTGAGTAATCACCCTGCCTGGGGAGGGTGAGTAATCACCCTGCCTGGGGAGGGTCAGTAATCACCCTGCCTGGGGAGGGTGAGTAATCACCCTGCCTGGGGAAGGTGTCCAAACACTGTACCTGGGGAGGGTGAGTAATCAATCTGGCTGGGAAGGGTGACCAAACACTATCTGGGAAGGGTTTCCAAACACTAACTAGGGAGAGTGTCTAAGCACTGTACCTGGGGAGGGTGAGTAACCACCCTGCCTGGGAAGGGTAATCGAACACTGTACCTGCGGAGAGTGAGCAATACACTGTTCCTGGGGAGGAAATGAGGATCACAGAGAGGAGACTGTTGGGGAACCTCTCTCGCTCGCCTTTTATACCATCACAGTGGAAGGAGGAGCGAGGAGGGAAAAAAAAGAATGATTAGACTTACCTTCCTCGATTACGTCGTCAAGGACAAGTGTGTTGATGCATAAGAAAAACACTCACACATACAAACATCTGCCAAGTTTGGAAGACACCACGTCAATTTTCCTGTCAGACACGCACAACTCCTGCTATTGTAAATGTCGGGGGTATTGTAATTGCCTATATAACTGCACTTTACAGTGAGAAGTCAAGGCCGCTGTTGTCCTACATGCAAACAGCCGGTGTTGGCTCTTGCCACGAGTCCTTTATCCACACCAAGATGGTCAGCAAGTCTTCCTGTTTCTTCCTGATGCTCTTCAAGGTTTCTTTCAGTATTAACTGCGGAAACACTGCCCGTGTGAGTTGATACACTGAGACGAGCAAGTCAACGGGAGTTGTAACCAGCGGCTGTCCTAACTAATATGAAAATTGACGCAGGCAGATGGAAAATGTGTCAGGTTTAAATATTCACGGGCATAATATTTACATAAGAGTAGCGATAAATCACATTAATTATATGGCTTTTTTGCACACACGCACACAGG